TATCTGGGGGCTGCCGGTCGGGCCGCGGCCTCCCTGCGCCGGTGGGCGTGGTGGAGAGGATGGGGGGTGAAGCGGAGGTGGTGGCGGCGGCTGTAGGTGCCGATCGGGGCCCACCCCTGCAGCACAGGTGCTGGTGTTGTAGGGACGCTGATGGCGGATGGGACTGAGCGCGGCAGCGCTGCTCCCCCCCTCTCCTGCCCGCGGATTTCGCGCCTCTGCGGAGCTGTGGCCTGCAGATCTGTGTGGGCAGGAGTAGCAAAGGGGTGCCCGCTTGGGTGTCCAGGCCAGAGCTCTTGGCAGGGTGAGCCGGCGTTTTAGGGGGTTTTTGTTTGTTTGCTTTTTCTCCACAGGCTTCTGCAGCTCTTGCTGGAGGACAGCTGGTGTGACTGCACACTAGAAACCATCTAGGATGTCCTCTGCAGCAAAGAGAGGGCATGTACAGAGAACGTGGTTTGGTTCGCGTTTGGGGTTTTTTTGTTTTGTTTTACTTGCTTCTGGGTGTTGAGCCAAACCTAGATGAAAAAAGCTGTAGGTAGATTTCTTGCCACAGAACCGGAAAACAAGATATGCAAAGCTTTTATCTTTAAAACACTTCTACCTGGAAAACTGCTTTGAAAATAGCTGTAGCAGCTTCAGTTTTTGTTTGTGTTGGTTTTTTTGTTTTTTTTGTTTTTTTCCAAAGGTCTGGTTTGGTTTCCCTCCACCAAGTTAAACTCTGAGCTGACAGCTGGAGACACCTCCATAGTTAGGACTTGGCTTAGAGCTGTTGGGAAGCCAAGCCAGTAACACTGCAGCACACCTCTTGAGTCCCTCCACTGGCTTATAAACATACTTTCTGTAAGTTTCTAAGGGCTATGGTTTAAAAATCTTCAACGTGATGGTGTTTGCACCCCTTTGCATTCACACGCTATAATACAGGCAAGCATAGCTCAGTAAATATCCTTTATTATTAGCTGTTTCTGTGTGTTACAACCTTATATGCTGTTCTGCTTTGCTCTGCCCACTGGCTTTATGGCTTCCAGGTAGTTGCAGATGTGTTATGCCTCTTCCTCCGCCCTCCCCCCTGCACCATCTCCGTAGAGAAAGTTTTGGGCTCTTCTCACTAGCAAACAGCAGCTTGAGCCACCATCTTTTAAAAGGCTTGAATCTTTGGACTGGCAAAATGGGATCGTTCATTTAAAGACCTTCAAATGACTGACAGTTCTGTAAAACAAAGATCTCTTGGGCAGGGGGATGGGGGAAGATGGCGTACTAAATATAAGAGGTGGATTCAGGTGGGAATGAGATCCACATGCTCAGTTTCTAAGGGTTAACTTGAGAGCTGAGGATTTGGATTGGCATTTTGGATGTGAAATTGGGGAGGGGGAATCGCTATGAATAGACATGGTGCTAATTGAACAGACAGTGCATACAGGCAGAGAGGTAATGTGTGATAGAACTGTAGGCCAAAAGGGAAGGAGCAAGCTGAAGCTGAACTGGGCAGTCAGCTTGTCCTTGCATGCCTGGTTGTAAATTTAAAATTCATCTTAGGGTGCCTCTGTTGTTTCCATCCATTTCAGTTCTGTTACCCAACAGAACAGCATGCACAAAGGAGGAAAGATAGATTGTTTGGAGGTTGGCATCATGTACTTCGAGTTGCATCTTGTCCTGTCAGCCAATAAGCCTTGATTTTGCAGTAGATCATAAGAAAGTATCACTAGATTTTTTTTCCAGTTTCGTCCCCTGATTTACCAAATGGACATAAGATGCATGCCCTGTAGAGGTGGGAAGTAAATACATTCTGAATTTTTGTCTCTGCAAGGGTACTAACAGCACATGAGCTTTCTGTGCCCTTTGGTTGTTTGCAGAGCCAACTAATACCCAATCTGTAAAGGGCCTCATGAAAACAGGCACCTCAGAGGCCAGTGGGATGTAGTTTTCATTTCACAGCTGAAAAGACAGAGGATATATCACTTCCCTTTTTGGCTGTTTATTGCTCATTTATCTGGTTGGTGAAAAGTGAAAGACGTGCAGCCTGCACCTGGCTTGTAGGTTGTGGTCTGTACTTCTCACTTCTGAAGGGACTACCAAACAAGGCTCCTTTTCCTTTTTAACTTAGCCAAAATGACTTGGCTCAAGTGAGCTTTGGTTGCTGTTTGTCCTTTCCTAAATTCTGTTGCCATGATATCACAAATGTGGCCTCTTTGCTCCATGGCAACGTCTGACCCTTGTGGAGGGAGGGGTCTGAGGTAGACAAAACAAATCTTGAACTCAGGAGGGAGACTGAGAGCTGGAACAGTGCGTAGGGAGCTGACTACTTACACAGTCCAGCCATGAGAGTGGAACTGGTAATGTCTTGCATTGTGGTTGTTTACTTAGGTGTTTTACCAGTACCCAGTTGGTGTTCTGACTTGCCAGCCTTCTTGCTGTCCACTGGAGAACAGTTATATTGCTTATTACTCTCACCTGGGTTTGTACCTTCATCTATGGCAGGGTTCTACTTCAGATAATTGTATCCCAGAAGGATAAGAAAAAGTAACTTGTGCTAGTTTTGTGCTGACAGTAGTGTTCAAAGGTGCATACCCCAAAGCACTGGATACTTTTAGACACTAGGCAGCAGGCCACAAACCATTATCAATTGCAGGTGATGCTAACCAAAGGTTTCTAGAGGCTGTGGCTGCTCTACCAGCAACTGATACTATTTCACTGTTTAGCTAGACAGAAGGCCAAAAAGTTAAAAGCTGTGTCCTGTGATAGCGCTTTGCTCTTGTTTTCTGTTTTTTTTTCCCTTTTGATTTAGGTTAGACTATAGATTCAAGAGCTTCTTCGATACAGCTTGAGTACAGAGGCAAAGAAAGGATCAGTTTTTTGGATGTGAAGCAGTAAACTTTCATCCATTTGCTTGGAAGCCTGTTCTGTGGGGAATGGCGAGAAATCTACCCACATCTTTCTTCATCTAGGTTTGACTCAACAATCAGAAGTGAAAAACTGTCTTCTCAATGGAAGATGACAATGAACCTGAGCAGAGCTGCTGGGCTCATCTACCTGATGTCTGTCTGAGGTGTGTCTTCCATTGGTTAGACAACAGGGACAGATCTTGGGCTGCCTTGGTCTGTAGAAGATGGAATTGGGCCCTGTACTCAGGATCCCTCTGGAGGAGCAGAACCATCACATTTTATGGCCGATCATCAAGGGCACACACGTTGGAGCTTCAGAGTGCACTGAAGTGTGTCAAGAAATTTATCAAGTATTTGGAGCACCTTGAAGTCAAATTATTGAATCCTTACAATACTACTTTTACCCAAAAATTTCAAGTGACTATGAAAAGTCTTCTTTCACACCTGGGTGAGTGTAACAGTCGCCTAGTATCCGTGAGCATCAAGTACCTGGAATTAGACCGCTTGGTCTGGAAAAATGTGGTGAGGGTTCAGTTTATCAAGAACTTAGCTACCTTCCCGAAAAGAATGAGCAAACAGCTTGATTATCTTAAAAGGAGCAAGAGTAACCTTGGAAGAAGGCTGTGATCTTCTGAATTCTCTGACCTGCTTGAGAGATAAAAGCTTTATATCTGAAATCAATATTGAGGATTTCTTTTGTCTCCACCTTCCTGTCTACAGCAGCACCTTGTTCCACCAAACTATGTCCAAGTTCCATAGCCTGGTCATCCTGACTTTCAATTATAACTGTATCTCTGATGAACTGCTGGACATCCTGCAGGAGCAGAGCACTCATTCTTTGTGCACCTTGAATATCAAATGTCATATCCATGACCCTCATGGACAAGTGGTCTGGGGAATGTCATGGGCAAACTTGGCCAAGAAAGCCCCAAAACTGAATGTGAACTTCTTCTTTGAAAGAGTCATGAACCATGATCACCTAGCCAAGATCCTGCTAGTGGAGATCCCAGTCAGGAGCATCAGTCTATGGAGCTGCTATTTCAGTGACCCAGACTGGACAATGAGACCTACCCTCACCAACCTCCTCCCAGCCTACTGTCATGTTCTGCAGGTAAGGGAAACAGTAGTGTCTTCTTACTGCAGTATCACAAAGCTAGGCAAAATAGTCCTATAGGCCTTCTGCATAACAGTGGTCATCCATGGGAATTCCTGACTGCTTCAGTTTTATGTTCAGAAAGTAATTTTCCTAAGTGAGCCATTCCCGTGTTACAGCTGTAGGTTAGTTCAGGTAGTTCTCCTTGTTCAGTTACAGTCCCTATTATGCTGGTCTTCTCTATCAGGCTGATGTCATGTTGCCCCCATAAAACTAAACCACCTGAACTACTGGTGGTTGTAATATCTGCTGTGAGAAAAAAAGAACCTTTTGGGCAGGAAAATGTCATTTTTGTAAGAAAACTTTATGCTTATTCTGGTTAGACACCTTCATGTTTAGTAACTGATAACTTTCTTAGCCTTTCATATTTTTCTGAACCCCACCCCTTTGCAGGGAAATCTGCATATGAGGAAAATAGTCTGTACACCTTGTTTGCTTACAGAGCTGTAGCCTGCATCAACCTACACTAATGGTTTTGCTCCAAAATGTCTTACAGCATATGTAAGTTAACTGGTGCCCATCACCAAGGATGTGTCACCAAAGGTGTGCCAACAGCTGACCCATGTAAATGAGCATCAGGTCTTTGCATCCCTGAGGGAAGCACATGGCTTTAGATCTGATGGTTGCTGACAGCTTTCTTTAAGTTCTGTTGCATTTTAGAGTTTCCAGTAAACCAGAGACCAGAGATCTGTAAAGCTTTCTAGAAATTGTCTTTGGATTTACTCTTGTACCAGGGATACTTTCCAATATGTCAAATAAGACCATGGCATGAACTGTGGGTGTAGCATCTTCTAACAGTACTAGGAGTTGCCTGTCTCTTAGTATGGTATGTAACGCACAAGGGACCCTCCCGTCTTAACGGAAGAGTGGCAATTACTGTAGCATATCCTGTTGTGACCGTACAAAACGGATTCTCTGCTAATGTCTAGGTACAATATTACTGACAGTCCCTTCTGTTGATAAAATTGGGAAACTCTTATTTACTGAATTCTAGTTACTGTGCTCATAAGCACTCTTCAGTAGTACTAATCGGTTGTTTTGTTTTGGTTTTTTTTTTTTTCCTCAAGAAGTTAACACTTGAGTTAAACAATGACCATCAGCTGCTGGACGATGAGCTGTTACAGCTCATCTTATCATGCAAGAAGTTGTTATTTCTTGAAATATGGGCATTTCTAAGTGTTACCTTTATGGAGAGGCTGCTACAAAACTGTGCAGAAAGGAAATGCATTTTGACTACCATAAAGGTAAGACTTTGTGCTTCAAAACTCCCATTCCCTTCCTCTCTCCAATACCTAGAGAAAGGTGAGGTCCCCATGCCCATAGAAAGGTCGCTTACAGAAACCTTAACTACCTTGCCTGTATTATGTTTTAGCAATATAATGAGCTCTGAAATGGGGCTTTCCAGCCTACTTAGCTGCGTACAGAATACTATAGAAATTTAATAACAAGCCCAAACAATTCCACAAGTACTTCCTAGACTGGGGTTCCCTCTGTCACCTCTAGTTCAAGCTAGAGATTCCCAGGCCAAGTGCTTACATCTGTGCTTAAATTGAAGCAGGTGGATTGAATCCCACTAAACTACAAGAAGATATAAACATGTCTCACTCTTCAGGGATGCTGTGTTGAACTGGGGCCAGACCACAACTGTAGCTGGTGCTAGATTCAGAGTTCATGCTGTTGTGCTACTTTACATGCTAGATTCCGAGTTCAGTAGATCCTCCCAGATCAGTGCAGATCCCGTATCAGTTCTGGGGGTAAAACAAACCTTTCTCTTCCCAAAAATTATTTGGCAGGAGATGATGTTTTCAGTAGAGTGAAACCTCAGGATTTTACTCAAAACTAAGGAACTGGGATTCTCTAGATTCTTCTTTAGTCACATAGGCTGCTTCTTGTCATGAGCTTTAATGGGCTGAGCCTGCTCCATGTATCTGAGAGACATAACTTGTTCATGCATACAGGTGAGGATTTACACAGCCCATGTAGACACTAGTGAGGGGGATCGGCTGTTGCACCATATTTACAGGAAGTTCAAATACCTGATTGACTCAGAGCTTAATTATTTTGTCATCACCTACCCAATGGTGTAAATCACAGGGAGAGAGAAGAACACCCAGTGACATCTGCAAGCAATGAATGGATCCTTTGGAAGGCATTAGTAAGGGATTTGAATCTTGACAGCAGTGCCTCTGAAAAACACTGTTACAGCAAGAGAGAAGTAAGGCACAATTTTACAGTCCATGCATTAAAATGTTGGACTTGTGAACCAGCCTCCTGTGTCTCCAGCATAATTTATTCTTGCCATTGCTTTGTTTTTCCTTACCAAAGGAAGCAGTGAGCCCTTTTCCACCCTTACAGACATCTCTATTAAAAATAAGGCCCTCTCTTTTTTCAGCACTTCTCAGTGTAGAGCTTCAAACACTAATGAAGCCCATGTCATCATTTCTGTTTTACAAATAGGGAAACTGAGACAGGGGGTGAGGAAGTGATTAGCCCAAAGTCAGCCTTGGCTTGATCTTGACTCATATGCAGTCGGATACACTATCCAGTGTATCACCAGTCCATACCTCCTGTTAAGTTTTTGTTCTGGTTTAAGCCCAGAGCGGAGCTGAGCACCACACAGCTGCTCTCTCACTCCTTTCCCCTCAGGGAAGCTGAGGAGGAGAAGCTGAGAGAAGAGGCTGAGCATTGACACAAGGACAGGGAGGGTTCACTCACCAGACAGACTCAACTGGGGAAGAAAAGAACATCAGTTTAATGTGAACACCACCAATGTCAACACTTAATTTACCAATCAGAGTAGGACAGTGAGAAATACAATCACAACTTAAAAACACCTTCCCCCAGCCCTCTCTTCTTCCCAGGCCCAGGTCTGCTCCCAAATTCCCTCCCTCGCACTCCCCCTGCTCCCCTGGTGCCCTCCATGGGCACAGGGCACAGCCTGCCCTCTCCCCACGGGCTGAGGGGGGCTCTGCTCCAGGGAACCTCTCCCTACCCCTCCTCCTTTCTTCCACTGACCTTGGTGTCTGCAGAGGTGTCTCCTTCACAACCCCAACTCCTCCTCTCAGGTTCCCCTTCTTAAATACGTTATTGCAGAGGCAAAGCCACCATCACTGATTGTCTGGGCCTTGCTCAGAGGTGAGTGCAACATGAGCCAGGGAAGCTTCCAGAAGCTTCTCACAGAAGCCATCCCTTTAGCCCCTCACTTGTTACCAAAACCCCACCACACACAGACCCAACAGACCTTCCTAAGACATAGGCTTTGTTTCTAACAGTGTGTTGACTGCTACAGAGCAGCTCCAGGGAGGTGACCAGATGTCTGCCTCTACTGTCTGGAATACATGATCAGACCCAGTGTCCTGTTAAAAATTTCTGCAAGGTTATTTTTTTTCCTGAATTTTGTTTGGGTCATGAGACTTTCCTTGCCTCTCCCTTTCAGTGATATCCAGCACCAAGGCAAAGCCTTAGTAGAGAGGGAGCAATCCTGCACCTAGGACACCTAAAAAGGATGTACTGCTGTAGACCACGGGATGCTGCTTCTGTTACAAACTCCTTAAAGAAACTTAAGTGGTGATTTTTGTCAAGGGGTATATTTTCCATAAGGAAATATCATAGCCAGACTGTCTTGTACTCTGTCTGACTTTTTAAAATATCAAGAGTTCATCTTCCTTCTCATTCAGCTATTCACTATGTGGGAGATGCCCCCTATTAGACAGCACTATAGAGAGCCGGATATCCTGGACTTAAAATCCCACCCACCAAAGGCTGAAAAACAAACTGGTAATTGTGGTTGCTCTCCTGAGAAATGACTTCTTTCTCTCTCCTCCCTCTCTTTTCCTTGTCTTATCTCTTCTTTTTAATCTAGGCTGTGTCATTGCAATTCTCGTGTTTAGCTGGTTGATGGTAGCTCACATTGCGGATTTTACTTCTCTCAGCTTTACTTTGATCACTTTCTCATCTCAAGATGCCATGTCTTACTCTCAGATGCTATATTCTAGGGCATTTGCATTTCATTCTGTTCTCCAGAGATCCTTATGCTGTACACATTGTCATATTGGGTGCCTTCCAGTGGTATTCTACGTTAAGGGAGATGTATTCAAAAGAATGCAACTTGTTCTGGAGGGCAGGAGAAGAGATGGTGGTTCTAAGTTTCTGGAGTGCGATTGAGAGCATTGGGAAGGCTCCTTTCGAGGATCTGAATCAGCCTGTAAGTAAGACCAGTTTTCAAACCAATAAAATGGTCTGCCATTCATCTTGATTGGTGATTCACAGTACTTGGAAAATATAATGCCTCAGATGTGGCAAATGCTGAGTGCTGTACAGCCTCTGGAGTGGACTGGGAGGTTAAAATTGATGATGGCTTTGAATGTGTGGGTTGGGAGTGCTGAGTAGAGACAGAAAGAGAGGTCAGTTTGATCTGTGGGGAAAGCAGGAGCTGCTTCCAAAATTTGATTGTGGGTCAGCACATACATTTGAAAGTTGAGCTGCATAGTGTTTTGTCTGTTCCCCCTAGATTACAATAACAAAGACAGTGAGTACCATACGAATATTGAAAAATATTTAATATGCAATGATAGTTTGATTAGGTTGAGGAGTTTTTCGGCACATGCATGCACAGTGGGTGTGGTTGTAGTCAGTATCTACCTTCCCAGGCTTTGCGTGGTTCTTTTGATGTAGCTGTAAGTGGCAGCATCCCTAGGTCTCTGTCTTGTTGATGGAGTGAGAAGTTCTTCCAGAGAGCCATTCAGAGTACCTAGATTCATTCCAAATCTAGCCATTTTAAACGCCTTTGTAGGTTCTGTGTGACTATAATTCACAGGCCTTTGGCTTCCTCTTAATCTGTTATTGAGGCTACTCCTTCTGCATTCAGGTTTCTCGCAGGTTCTCTGGGTTTAAGTGTTTAGAAAGCATCTCATTGAGCCACCTGCTCAAGGCAGTACCCTGCAACTTGGAAAGTCATTCATGCTTGGTGTTAATAGATTTTGGTTTTTCCATTGATGTGAGGAACATCAGGTACCAATCCCTTTCAGTGGACATGGATGGAGCAGATCCAGAATTCTGGGAAAATGTTTCAGAATCAATTTGGTTTTGGTAGGATTCTACTGAAAGTGCTAAAAGTGACCTAAATTGCTGGGGATGGATGGATCATAGGTGCAGACTTGAAGGGACAGTAACCTCTAGCAGGGAAAATAGAAAGCAGGGATGAGCAGGAACAACATGTTTGATGGGAATTTGAATGCTGGAGCAAGGTCACACACAAAACCCACAGCAGAGTTGGAACAAGAGTCAAAGCTACCAATTTGCTCTGCAATGTTTTCATTTTGGGACCTTCAGACATGCATTTCAATGCTCCGGTGAGGTGCTGTGCAGCTCAGAAGTGGAGCTTTAAGAGCCAGAGCTAATAGCTTTCTTACCAGAATCTCTTTACTTAAGCACATCCATTCAGAGTGACCCCTTCTAATCACTGGTCTTCTGATCTCACTGTTTCTCCATGATAGTTGTCAAATGCATGCACAGCGATACTGTGGTTCATTCACAGTGGGCATCTTGTTACAAAGCTCTCTGCTTTGTAAAGACGCAGAATCATCATGCCAGTAATAGCATCGTCTGTCCATTTCCCGCTCCCCTCCCCACCCCCTTCTTGGCTGTTTGTTTATGTGTTTGTATTTGGTGAAAATAATATCCCTTTGCCATAAGGAGTGCAATGTCCAAGCTGTGACTTGCATTACCACATTTTATTTTCTCTTGCTGTCACACAGCCTCTGCAAGTTATAATTCACTGTGGGTGTCATCGCAGAACAACCTTGCTGGCCCTGTTATTGTTATTGGGTCCAGAAAGATGAGTGGCTGACCTTTCCCAAGTGCTATTTCTGTTGACTGCTAAAAACCTTCAAGAACAAAGTTGCGTGTTTCTTAGTGGTGTGAGCCAGGCTATTTATCTGCCTGCAGGCTTTCTGAATCTCAGCATATCTGTGAAGATAGGTATTGCAAAGGAGAGCCTAGTTTACTCTGCATATACTCTGAGGAATGGTAAGCTTCAGGCACTGACTACTGGTACTAAGTACCTCTGGTTAATCACATTCATGTAGCTTCTGGTTTGCTTGTAACAGAAGAGTGAACTCACCTCTGCTTGTGAGCTCTCATGTAGAAGGTATCCTGCTGACCACCACACAGACTACCTGCTGTTGGTCTGGGCAGCCCAGTACTGGTCTATGCTGTAAAGAGCTTGTTAGGAATACAGTAGCAGGGCTGGCAAAAAGACAGTGTGTAGTCCACTGCTTTCAGGATAACGGTTGTCAAATGCCTGCTATTCTGCTCTACATCTCAACTCTTTTGGGTATTACTTGCAATGCTAATTTGGAGCAAAGACATACACGATATAGGTAAAAGAACTGCCAGTTCCACAGTCCTGCAGATTATTAAAGAAAATCCCACTTTTGTAAATACATCATGGGGGATGGAAGGGGTGGAATTTCTGGAAAGGTTTGATGATGGTGTTCATGGGAAAGTTTAAAACCAGAAGCATGCAAAAGGTTCCTATATTTTCTCTGATTTTAGGGTGAAGGATGAGGAAGTCATTAGTTTAATTCCATCAGGGAAGTCTTAAATATTTATTTGCTGAGGGACATATTTTAGGGCAGTAATAAAGAGACAAACGGATAGGTGTGCTCCCCCAGCTTCCTCCTTTTACAGCTGTCAGGGCACATGCTGAAGCAGCACAGAGGCAAAGCTCACACCTCATGCTGGAGGGCTAAATGGGAACTGTACAAAGCTGAGTTCTCATCCAGCCTCTTAACCACTGGCACTGTAAGCAGATTGCATCAGAAAAAGCTCCCATTTCTGTTCTGTCCGTGAAATTAGGATAAAAATCTTGGCTTTCTTAAAGGACAGACTTAGTCATCTACTCACACAAAGAGGTATATGTCTGTAAGGAACCAGAGATTAGTTTGGCTCTATATACAATGAGTTGAAGCAAGGTCACTGGTGAGCATGTTGCCGCTCTGCATCTCAGTGTTCACTGCTTTGATGTTAATGCCTCACCAGGGCCCAGCTAGCCTGTCCAGTGCTTCTAGACCAGTGCCTTTCAGTTGCTTGCACTACCACTTGGATAGTGCGTAAGAAATGCTTAGCAATAGCGGTGATCAAAGGTTTTTGATGAAGCAAAACACAAGTGAGAACACTTTTCTCTGCCTCTTTTTTGTGAATGTTCTTGTAAGCCTAGGTAAAGAACACCCTCCTTTGTTACTCATTTATTGGCCCATATGAGGGCATAACAATCCTCTTTTATAGAATTGTTTGCTTTTTTTTTTTTTCTCCCATGCAAGGGATAATGCTGGTGGTCACAAGTTTAAACCACCTTGATGACCTATGGGAGGAACTGTTATGCCTAGGCAAAATGTGATTACTCGTTAGTGTGAAATGCTCTGATACTGTTCAAATAATTGCTAAAAGCAAGGGAACTGTTGTTCAAATAGTTGTCTGAGGAAGATGGAGATGGTTTCTAGGTGCTTCCATTTTTCGATGTTGAATTCTGTGCACTCCTGGATAAATCAGCATCCAGCGTCACACAGACTTCAGCTTTTGAATGCCAGCCATTGTGGAGGACGAAACTCTGTATGTGCCCAGCCAGGGACAGTGATGGGTATATGGTGGCCATAGCATGTTCTCTTTCTGTCTATACAAATGCACCCTCCTGCTGCCCCCCAAAATAACTTCCTACTTCATTTGGTCTGTTGGTTAACCAGCCAGAATTCCCAGTAGCTGGATAAAGGCCATCTGGACACAGATTGCCTCTCCATCTTCCAGATCATAACCTGTGAAGTGTCCAGTGCTGTGACCAAAGCACTGATGTAGAAGCTCTCTGAGTTGCCTGTGTCCTTATCAGTATGCTGTATATCCTGTTATACTGTAGATGGCTGGGGGAGCAACTCTTCACTGAATGTAAATGTTTTTAGTTTTAGTAACTTCAGACAGTCTGGACAGTTGGTGCTGGCCAGGGATTTGCCCCACTTCTTTATGTATGCTTGAACTACATTAAAACCTGAGGTCTTACGGGTCATCCAAATAACAGTGTCATCAATGGGAAGCAGTCCTTTACTTTGTCTGTATTTAATCAATGCAGTTAACTGGAGGAATGGAGTTCAGTGTTGGAGAAGAACAACTTTGTGAAGGGTCTGGATGTAACTGTTGCCGAAAGATGAAACTGTGAAAGATGAAACAAGGAATGTTAGTGTATTATCAAGGCATTTGTAGTGCCTTAAGTAACAGGAAACTCAGGCTCGTTCTTATAGCAGGCTTGCATTAAACAGATAGGTGTATTGTCAGAAGTCGTTAGCATTGTTTTACTTCACGGGTAATACAATTTAAGAATCTGAGACATTGTATCTCACTACTCTCCCCCTTTTGTTGTTTAAACAGCTGATTTCTGGGAATATACTGAAGTGGCCTTTAATATCCACCACATGATTTTACATGTATATGTCCAAATGATGATCTGGTATCCTTCTTATTATAGTGGCTTGGTATAGCTGAAACATAGTCTCCCTGCATGGTCCTCACTAGTTCCATGA